ATATTAAATATATAAAAAAAAAAACCAACAAAATTTTAAAAAAGAGACTTTTTTTATATTTACATACTAAACTACATCGTTTATCAAGCGTATTAAAAATTCATAAATACGTAGATTTAATGACTCCAAGTATGTTAAAATCGCGAGAAAAATCATCGCGCCGTGAAATATTCGCGTAAGAGCGATCGTCTGTGGAATCCGACCGGGAAATTTAATGGATATTGAACGACCAGGAGAGAGGATGACGGTGATTAAAACGCGCGCGCCGCGCGATCTGGCGCGCGTCAACGCCGAGATCTACGCCCAGGCCACCCTGCGAGCGAGCGTTTCCACGAGCGATTACAGGATCACGGCGCGAGAGCACCGGGGGCCGGTTTAAGCACCGTCGTTTTTGCGGCGTCCCTCGTCGTCGGGATGCTCCAGACTCCGAGTGGACTCGTAACTTTGTAAACGATGCCGGTGTCGGCGAAACGCGGATTCATGCCTTCCGTATTAAAATTGATTAATCTCACACGCTCGTATAATCGAGCTTGATTATTATTGAACGTCACCGCGCGGATGTTCATTCATGTGTGATCGTACGAGGTAATTTATCGTGTCAATTTAAAATCAACTAGTTCATACATTTTAGAATTCTTTAAATGTATAGACAAAATAAAGAAATAATATAAAATTTATTCAAATATAAATTTGACTTGCAAACGTTCCAGTTTTTCGCATTTTTCACAATAATTTTTTCTTAAAAGATTTTTTCTTTTGGAAAATTACGAATCGCAATTTTAAATTTCTCGTAGGACCGTTAAAATGTGAAATAGAAATATATATATGTAAGACGCGCGATGTCAGCAGGTATGTTCCCAACAGGTATGGAAGTGTCTCTCTACGCGATTAAATATTTGCGGTATTTATCAGTGTAAATGTTAACTCACAAAACGTTGGTGTAGGCTCTAAAAATGCCTTTCTTGTGAGATACCTCCCTCGATTAGGTAAGTTTCTAAACAAATGAAATCCTCTCTCAAGCTCGAAAAAAGTTAAAAATGAAAAATGAAAAATCAATTTGCAGTAATCAAAATATTAAATATCTAGAGAAAAAAAATTTTTTTTTAAGAACAAGGCTTGTTTTTTGTCGTAAAAAAATCCGTTTTTTATGGAAAAAAAATTATCTTTGTATTGTACATTTTTCTACATGTAAGCAAATCTTGACGTACTCCAAATGCATATGGACAGATGTCAGATTGCGGAACTATATTTTTTTAAATTTCATATCCGTCAATAAACATTTTAATCGCATTTACCATCACGAATAGGGAACAGAACGTTTCGCGAGATGCTTTGCACAAGTATCGTCACATCCTTCTCGGTCTATCCTTCCTCTAACGTTGATTACGATTTATCGCGTCGCTGTTTATACCGCGCGAAACTTCGAGCGATGCACGGTTAATGAGCCACATCCGTGCTCTTCGAGTTCCTCTCTTCGTCGAAGGTCGAGGGTCGAGCGTCTGATCGACGCAAGATGGTAACAGCTAAGGAGGAAACCGCGCTCGGCGACGGAAATTGTAACCGCTAACTAATGTGGTTGCCAACAGACTCGCATTGTAAATTATATATGACTGAATAATTCAGAAGAATTGTAACGTTGTAACATTTCTTTTATGTATCTTCTGCGTTTCGCGTCACATCGTTCTCTCGATCGATCGATCTCGGTTCGATCCTGTTAACTTCGACGATCTCGACGCGAGATCGAGTCTGAGCTGGATGACGAATCAGGGGCGTGGAAACGCTTAACGATATTGCATTACGACGATATTGCATTACGCAAATGATTAATGCACTCTACCGGGAAATTAGTCAGAGAATCTTTATATGCGTTCTCGGTTATGAATGATTAACTATTACAAAAACGATTTTTCTTTCGAAAAAAGTCAGCTGATTCATCTCCTTTAAAATATCGATTAAATCACGAGACAGAAGGATCGATAATTTTTTTATGATAATTAATACGCAATCAGGACAAGCTGCATTTTATACGATTTGTAAACGAGAATCAAGATGCTTTTACAGGATGTCTATCCAAAGTTTGTAAAAAATTCCCAGGATTCCCTGATTTTTCAGGTAATTTGTTCAAAATTCCAGATAAAATTAGAGAATTTTTAGATGGAACTTTAAAAAATTTTTTTTGTATGCGTTTTCTAATGCTTTTCACTCATACAAAGGAAAAATAAACCACTTAAATTTTTAATATTAAATCAAAAAATGTACTGAAAAGAACTGAATGATTTTTGTAAGATAAGCATTTTTCATTTGCATAATATTTTTATTTTCTATTATTAATTGTAAGAATTAGTTCGAATAAAATTCCATGAGATTTCCCTCATTTTTCAAGGTAAAAACGAAATCTCTGAGAATTCCAGGTTTTCTAGGTTTTTCCAGAGAGTAGACACCCTGTTTTAGCAGAAACATTAAAGGAGCATATCCGTTTGAACATTCAACATATTAAAAATGAAAATATAATTTATATGAAAATATAAATCTGCAAATATTCACATAACTTACAAAAAATCCTTTTTAAGCTGGAAATTTTTATTTAAGTACTTAATAATATTGTATTAATATTTATAAAAAAAAAAAAAAAATTTTATCAAATCGTTGCGCTGCAAAAAAAATCTAGAGAATGTACTTATTTTTCGAAGGTTCAAACGAGTATGCTCCCTTAATCATTCGAAGCAATCGCAACTCTTTAACTAAGTATCTACTCACCGTACTTGAGTCCTCGCCAAGTACTGGCCGGCTTATGATATTTGTATTTAGGAAGCACGATTCTGGGCGGCGGTCGCGAAGGCTGCGAAGGACACGGCTTGTAGACAACCATGCATCGTACACACTTCCGGCTCGTGGGCGGCTCCGCCGGATACGCCGGCTGAATGTGCACGTAGGCCATCGGGGTAACCGATTGAGCGGAATAATGATTCGCGTGTCGTTTTCGCCGATCGCTTATCACCGTCTCGTATCCTCGCTCCACTTTCTGAATCGTAGTCGATCCCGCGTTATCACTCCTTCCTTCGTATGCCTGAGCGTCCTCTCGTCGATCGATCGATCGTATTATTTTCTTCGTAAAACTGCGTGTGATTTTGCGTTTGTTCCGCGCAAAAATCGGTCGATATTCCGGAATGAGAGCTCCAGTATCGATTCTTCGATCCTGACTCGCCAATACGAAATTATTCGCGACCATCAGGTCCTTCGAGTCCTCGCCGCGTGTCACTTTACCCCTTTTATTATCCGAGGGAATAATGGAATCCAGAATTTGAAAAGCACTTGCGTTGCCCGAAGATCCTTCGTTATCACTTTCATCTCGAAATTCACTATTGACACTGCTATTTAAATCCTCGAAGAGAGCATCCTGCGATCTGTCTTCTGTATTAATCGAAAGATCAGTTTCATGAACGTCGTTCTTGTCATTATTTTCGATATTGTTGACCTCAAATTCTCTAAGATTCCCTTCGCGGCTCGTCTCGTGGCTTCTTCTTCTCGCAGAATCCCGTTCTTCCGGCAGATTTTTACGATCCTGGATCGCCTCCGCGGGCCTCGTCGCGGAAGATTCAGCTCGTTCGCGATTCTCGTGAAAAAAAAGGAGCTGGTCCTCCTGCATTCCTGCAGCAAATCGCCGTGTACTCCTCTTATCTCCTTTCAAGGATTCTAGGATCGACGCTCGTCCTCCGGGCGAGAAACGCGAATTTTCTTCGATCTTATCACGTTGCCTTTGAACGCTTTTATCAGGATCTCGATCAAGAGATCTACGTCGATCGATCGATCGAACGTTGATACTCATCTCTCGCGATCTAGGAACATCGAGCTTTGATCTCGAATCACCTGTTTTTGGTCCTGTCTCTTCTACTTTGAGTCTGTCGTTACGTAACGTCAGAGAAGTCGCGGTGTCAATCGTCTCTTGATCATCGTCTTTTTTATCACGCGATCCTTCCCGCTCCATGAGCCTCCTCTTCTGTTTAGTCTCGCTCGATATTCGAGTTACGATATTAATATCGATCGAACGCGTGTCGGTTCGCGTAATTATGTGGTGTCGATCCCCTTTCGAGGATTCACCTAACGTATCGCCGGCTTCGTTCACGTGGAAATTCCGCCGTAGTAGCAATCCGTCACCATCGATTTTCCGATCGCCGATATCGATCAACGACGACGCGCGTTGGTTTTCATGAAACGCGTTCGTCTCCGCCGACGAGTCCTCGAACATCGATCCCTCGTCGCGTCGATCCGATCGCGCGCTGCGCTTCCATCGCCTGTCAGCTTCGATCTGCCACCAGAACAAAACGTCGTCGACATCCTTCGATAAGTAACTCACACTTTCCTTCGATCGTTCGAGGATGGACGGATCGTCGTTTTCTGACCCGTCGATTCGAATCGATCTCGCGCCGCCACTGCCTTTCGTCCGAATTGTTGACTCGCTCCACCATCGCAAGCCTGATAGCAGAAGGATCCCTGCTCCGAGGGCCAGCACGCCCCGGGCCCAGATTGATCTTCCGGGGTACATTTCTACCCCATAGTCAGAAAGAAGATCGTCTCGTCCCGCAGGACACCTGTCATGTCGATCGCATATCGCATTCGAGTGATCCCTTGAGAAAATGCTTCGTTCCTCGATCGACGGTGAATGTTTTTTTTTAAAGAATTTCCACAGAGAACCTTAAAATATTTTTGATTCGAGTCAACGATTAGCAAATTTCAATTGCTACAATTTTTATGTGATTTGACAGTGTGGTTTTCATGATTCTTGAATATCTTCATGTAAAGGTAATAAGAAGGTAACTTTTTATTATCGGCTGGTGATTTTCTTTAAAAAATTTTTAATTAAGTTTTAAATCTCATATGATATATTATAATTTTCGTTTCGGACAGAAAATAAATTTACGATGAAATCCAGTTGTATCCACAATTTCGACAATTTACATTTTGCGATAAGAACGATAGCAGATAGTAAATTATTTTCACCTTACAACAATCACTCTTGAGCAAACTGTCCGAGTTTGCTGTTCGACTTTAGAGAAAGTCGGCGACAAGCTCGCGAAACATTCGATAAATCACTCACACTATCGACAGACACTCGTTCTTGGCAACGTAATTCTTCCACACCGGTGTCCCCAAAAAAATCTTCCAGATTCCTCCCTCAATGCATCATCTTCATCGTATTCTCTCTTCGCATCGAGCTCGCAGGGCAAACGTTTATTCAATCGTTTCATCTAAAATTTGCGAATCCAAAAAAGCCATGCACTATAATCCACTAAATGTAATTTGTCCAATAATAATCACACAGAGAGAAAATGAAGAAATCTCGGAGCACGAAGAAATTTTTCATTTAAAATTTTTCGCGGTTACGAGAGATTCTCTGGTAAAAGATCTTCCGTGTATTTCTCAGAAGTTGCTTCGCACTTTTCGATTTCTGATCTTAAAAAAAGAAAAGAACGGAGAAGGAGCGTGCACGTGGACCGCGATGAGGTGAACGTGTACCGGCTTCGAGCGCGGCTCGCGAGACACTGACTTGATACCATTGCCATTAGCTGGCTGTGGTTCACTCTCTCCGCACTCCTCTCCGCTGCCTCTTCTTCTTTTTCTTCTTCTTCTTCTTCTACGCCGGCATTCATGTCCACCTCCTCTTCGGGAGGAAGCCGAATCTCTCTGTTTACTATGCCGCGCACGTGGGTGTGCGGACATTCGGTTCGGAGCATCGATACCAGACGAGCAATTCTCATCGCATTCTTGACTTTTTAGATACGGACGTATATCAGTGACGTTGCGATTTCGCGTTGTTCAACGCCTCTTCGATGACGTATAATTCCATGCGTAGAGCGTCAAGGAGAATCGCTCGCGGGCTCTTCGATCTTTTTGAGAGTTAATTTTGTGTAATTTTTTGATGGATGGTGTATGTGTCATATGTCAAAATAGTAATAAAAGCATGAAAATTTCGTAGACTGTTCTACTATTTCTTCTGAGTATGTGTGCAAAACTTGAGCACAATTCTCTTAACGATTGCAAATTATTTAAGTTTAAATACAGTATTGATTCTTATTGACAAATTTGACAAGGAAAAAACATTGCCAACAAAATAAAAATTTTTACATATATTAAGAAAACTCTAATAAATATTTGTGCAAAACTTGATTTAGATCCACTTACTTGTTTAAAAATTATTTACTCTAAAAATTGTAAAAAAATATTATCTATCTTTCTCTCTCTTTCTGCAAATTATTTGGTTTTTTTTTGTTTCTTGCAATTGATTTCAGCGGATTTTCACAATCAAAAGTTTTTGTCATAAATTAGGAAAAATATTAATTACAACTATTTTCTTTCACGAAGATATTAAAAACTATATTATTTTGTGATACTTTAATTCTTTTTATAATCTGGATTTATTTATTTGATTTTTCAGACAATATAAACGTAAGAATTTTTTTTTTATTTTGACAACTTTTTACTACTATTGTACAGCTAAAACATTCTTAATATAAACTATTCAATACACTAAGCATTGTTCGGAAAGTTTTGCACAAAACTGGCGAGTACAGACTAGCGATAACGATTTTTTTTTCAACGTACATCAGTGTCGTATACGTTATCTAGACCCACATCGATAAGTATATCTCGCTATAGTTATCTCCCGCTTTCTTCGTCGCTCAAATTTCTCGCTCGATTATTATTCGCATAATTCTGTGACGATAGCATGTGCAAGAAAATGCATCGATTAATTTGACAAAAAAAAAAATTAAACATAATTTCAAGTCACCGTTTTTTTTAAATGTCCATATGCATTTGTTGCGCATGATTTAAATGAGAGAGGTCGTTGCGTTCATTTCGACAAGAAAGACGACAATGTACGCATTGTCACCTGGGGAGACAATACTTCGAGGACACCGTGATGTAGAGGCGAAAGAAAAAATAAAATGTCAAAATCTCGACGTTCTTGCCGGAAGATGTAAATGCCGGAAATTTACAATCCATTTGACATGTATACTTTCGCAAGATTTAAAAGATACTCTAAAGATTAAGTTAACAAGTGTCGGAGAGAGAAATAAAAATTTTCGAGACACACACTTTCGCGCTCGATGACCCATAAAGATCGCGTATGTTTCAATCGCACATCATTTTCCGCGTTATGCAATTTCGCCACGCTCGTAGGCTTGAGAAACGTGATGTCTATTAGCGTTACCCTTTTAGCGACCAGCAGCAGACCGTGTACGTGCAGACAGTAGTCGAAGACATCGCCCTAAGGAGCGTTGTCCTTTAAATCTTCTATCTCTTTTACGAAGCCAAGTAAACCTTGGAATATATTTGCACTTTACTTGTTTTAAGCAAAGTGGAAAAATAAATTGATAAAAATTAGATTCTAGTCAATTCTGTCAAAAATTTCTGTAAACATGGAAATTTCAACGATTAATAATAAAAAACAAAATTTACGATTGTTTGCATTGGCTGCGGTTAATTCTAGCAGAGATATTTAACTTGATTATAACGTAAGACATTTTTTATACAGAGGCTACTCTGTACGTGATACACGGGGCCTTTCCGGGTTGCACGTGCCACGCACCTGTCATTTCCCTGCACACCGTGATACAAAGCGACCG